TGGTAGCAGTTGCACTTTCTGTGTGACGACGGCTGCAGCGCATCAAGCTGGAAGAAGGGTATATATGCGTTGGGGGCCAGCAGCCACGAAGACCATACAGTTCAGCCGAAGCTTAGCCAATCGCAAAATCGCATTAGAGAAGTCGCTGGCACAACAGGGCATCAAGGGAGACTCCTGCAGCGCCCGCAAAACAGCAAAAACTTGCAAAGCGCGTCGCAGTAGCACTTGCAGGCTGCATGACCTCATGCGCAGGGACAACCTAGCTGCGCAAGAGAGAAAATCATTTGTTGCGTGCATTTGGTACTCTCTCATGCACTTTGTTCTCAAAGTCAGCATGCGTGCGCTGACTGCGTGGACGCAGCAACTTTCAAGCCTTGAACCTTCGTGCGTCGGGAAAAGGTCCAAACGTCAAGCGCAAACCAAGATGTTGCGCGAACCAACTGGACATGTTCTGGAATCAGTCATTGCAAGCAACAAAATTGGCAAATTCTGAAAGAGTGCGGCATGCCCTCGGGCCTGGCACATAGCGAAGGTTGGGGTTTGCATCTGTTTTACACGTGCGGTTCATATCCAGTTTTTACTAGAATTTGGCAAACTTGCTAGGCCTTCTCTCTCCTGATACAGAGACACACGCAGCAAACCTTGTGGCATGTTGTGTATTTGCGCAATTCTTTGTTCTTGGGGGGGGGGGGCGGGGCCGCCCAAAAAATGGTAGCTGGGTCTCAAGGCTCCGTTATCGGCAGCTGCGCCATCATCGTGCCCAACTTCGCGCGCCAGGATGAGCGTTCATGCGTCAATTCACACGGCAGTTGAGGCCATGATTGAAATTCTTGTTACAGAGACCGCTGTTGGAGGAATTGTCGTCCGCTAGGGGAAGACAAGAACCAGTGGCCAGATCCTGAGTTGGCAGCAGAACATGACCTTGGTGATTGGAAGCTTCGTCCAGGCTCGTGCTGGGCATTGAGTCTAGCTGTGATGATACCGGCGCTGCTGTTCTCAGGCAATGCTACCATGCAATTGCCAGTTCAAATTTTTTGAATTGCCGACAGGGGTGATGGCCAGATTCTTGGAGAAGCTTTGGCATCACAGGTTCGGGCCCTGGGTTTGTGCGGCAAGAGACAAGTTGGAGTGCACATGATCAGCAGACCGAAGATGTTGACATTGATGTTATCATGTTTGTGAAGTTTCAATTTGAAAGTCAGAACGAGCACAACATTTTTTGAGCCCATTCACCTTACAGAAGAACTGACGAAATGCAGCTAGTAGGGGTCATGCCTGGGTGTGGGCTGAGGCCAATATCCATGAGCAGTGGGGCGGTGTTGTGCCCCGGCTGGCGCAGGAAGGTCACAAACAGGCCGCCAATCGATGGGACATGATCCTAAATTATCCTCTCCATTTTCCTTTGCATTATTCCCAAGTAATCCTTATATAATCCCCATATTAACCCCTGTTTTCCCACCACATAATCCTTGTATAGCCCCTATATTACAAAGTAAAGTGTCAGGCCATCGACGGAACCGTGGAAGAAGCGTTGCGACGAGCAGGCCATCAGTGATGAGACGAGCGTGGAAGATTGTAGCAAAAATGAACACAATTAGTCATGATAATGGTATTTATTAACAATAGTATAAATCATAGTAAGAGCTGTATCATATCAATAAACGAATATCAATATATATATACACATACATATAAATGAAAATGCATGTAAACAATGATGGTAATGGTGATGCTATGTTAGCAGAACATGTAAACAATAGTAAACATGGAAAGGGCTGTTCTTGGCTGGCATTCTTTGCAGGGATTGCGAGCGCAGATTTATCTGCCGTCGCTGTGACTGCCACATGCTTGGCTTGTCTGCGGCAATGACATTCCATCAGCCCTTGCTTAATGGTGTTTCGCATGGAAGAAGGGAGCGAGGGAAGGTAATCCTTATAAAGCCCTTGTTCATGTTCCCTAGGTTAACATGTTATTCTTAATTAGTATCAGAACTACTACTATGATTTGTAGTTTGGGTACTGTCCCCACTCATTAACAGTTGGATAGAACTTACAATCTCATTATATAGATCCCGTAATATGGCTCCTATTATAGACTGTTAATGGGTGGGGGGAGGACCTCATTTATAGTATTTTTACTTGACAGTATTGCAATTAGGATTGGAATTAATACTAAACCTTGATTTGTAGTACTAGTATTAGAATTTCTATTATGATTTATAAGCCCTAAACCCTAAACCCTAAGCCCCTATATAGCATTATTACTTGACATTTTTATGTCGTTGAGGTGGGACCTGGGCTTGGCCTTTGTCTCGAGGTTGGTGTTCGCAAGGCAGGCTCGCAGAACCCGTTTGGGGGTTTAGGGGTTTAGGGTTTAGGGGTTTAGGGCTTAGGGGTTTAGGGTTTAGGTTTCCCATAATTAGGGGTACCCTACTAAAGGAATTATAGGGGGGATGTAAAGTTATAGAGGGATTATACAGGGTTAGGGTTAAAGGTTTTTAGGGTTTCCCAAAATTAGGGGTACCCTCTTGGGGGTCTTAACAATAAGGATTATAGTATTTTGGGGTCTACATTGGGGTTCCTGCCGTAGTTCTCCTATTTATGGGAACTGCCATTTTCATTTTATGGCATGGCCGCCGGTGTCTGAGTGTTACCAGGCGATCCGCTTTGCAGCTGAGCACCGTTTGCCACTGGCTTCCTCGGCTTGCTTTCTGATGTCGCTATGTGATCGTTATGTTAGGAGGACCACCCACCTTGTAATAATGGTATAATAGGAATATAAGAGAACCTCAATATAATCCTTCTTATCCCTTATAGTCACTATTACTCGGTGGGGGGGGGTCCGCCTGAGCTGTGTGTCTTGGTTCCTTGAATCGGGTGTGCCAGGTGCGCGTCCACCACATGGAAGCTCACATGATGGTGCCAGTCCCTGCAAGACCATGGCCTGAGGATGTCAGACACATGATTGTCACGAGGTGACTCGATTACCTCTTGCTACTGCACAAACTCAAGGCCCATCACCTCCAAGTGCTAAACCTTGAGCATTTGTTTGCAATGAGTTTAGTCGCAGTGTGGGGGGGGGGGCAGGGCGGNNGATTGAAAAAAGACATGACATGATTCCAGGCCCACAAGCAGATCTCCAGCAGCCGGAGTTTCCATTTATCACGTCCTGCTGGCAACTTGGCAGTCATGCTTGTTCCCATGCTGACAGGCTGATCCTATACCCATGATACAGCACCCCGGCCTCCGTATCATTCAATACTCCCATACATGTTCTCATTGCTTAGTATATGAGTCTTCCTACTTGCTGGACGGGGATTCTGGGAGGCCATTGTTGCGGGAACCCAGAAGCACGGGACTCCTGGGGTCAAATCCCAAGCAGCGTCTTTCCCTACATTCCAAACCCAAAACCCTAAACCCTGAACCTTAAACCTTCAACCTTCAACCCTCAAACCTTCAACCCTCAACCCTCAACCCTCAACCCTAAACCCTAAACCTTAAACCCTGAACCCTAAACCAACAAGCACTGAGCCAGGCTGTTGGTATCTGGTGGCCACAACATGGCAGTGCTGACTCGAGGGGCGGGATGCTAAGAGGGAAACATTTGGGGTTTCCCAAAATTTGGTCATATGGGGTGTTATATGGGGATAATGGAAAATAAAATGGAAACTGCTATTTAGGCTATTTAGGTTTAGGGATAAGGGTTTGGGGTTTCCCAAAATTAGGGGTACCTACTATAATGGAGAATCAAATGGAAAAGACAATGGAAGATTAAATGGAAACCGGGTTTCTACAGGGGATTATAGGGATTAGGGTTTCCCAGAATTAGGGGTACCTTTTTGGGGGGTCCAAGTAATAAGGTCTATAGTATTTTGGGGTCCATATTGAGGTCCCTCATTTTGGGAAACTACCACTTGATTCTCGATTAAAGCCTTATCTAGTGCTCTATATTCCGTCTATGGATATATAGCTACATTTTTTAAATCTCCCCATATAAGCCCATCACGATATGCCCTCACATAAACCCTGCATATTCCTGTATAAACCAATCAGTAGATATTTCAATATATATATACACACCATGTATCCCTATACACCCCATTCCAACCCAAACCTCTTGCAGGTTGGCAAACATACTATCCTCGGCAGCACGATTGACGATTCAATCGGCGAGGCCTTTGACAAAACCGTTTTGATCTCAGAGGTATATGTCATCCTAGCTCCTCTAATACCGCACATTCACGGCATTAATTTGTTTTTTGGGTTTAGGGTTCATTTGTGTCAATCTTTTGTCGGTATATTGGAGACTTTAATCATGGGGGGGCAAATTATTGGTGGAGGCAATTGCAGATCATTCAGTGACTTTGCCGTTTTGCGATCCGAAGCTGGGAATAAGGCCAGGCTTTTGGGAATCACGAAAGCCGCAGCCTCAGCTCCTTCTTGCCAGACATTCGGAGGATGCATGAGGGACACCCCATGACTTGTCTTTCCAAATCCCTGAGGTCTCAAAGCATTCCCCCTAAGCCCGAAACCCTAGACCCCAAGCCCTAAACCCAAAACCCTAAACGCCAAACCCCTGAACCCCAGACCCTAAACCCTAAACCCTACCCATGTTAATGGCTGTCTCCATTCGTGTCTGGAGGTCCCTGGCGGGCCCCACCTGGAACGTTTAGCCAAGGATGGGGATCCAAAGGCTGGGCTTAAAAGGGTTTGAAAGGTACATAGGTGTTAGGGTTGAGGGTATAGGGGGAAATGGGGGTATAGGGGTAAACAGGGGCATGTAGGGGTATATGGGGTTGTACAAGGGTATATGGCCAGCAGTCAGCACACTGACCTGCAACGAAGCAGGCGCACCAGCTGCCCAAGCCATTGGCCAAGACCAGAGACAAGGCTGGTTTAGGGTTTAGGGTTAAGGATTTAGGGTGGTAAGCTTGCACAGACATGGGGCTGTTTGCGGCTATGCGGAAGTTATATGGGGCTACATAAGGTTACATGGGGTAAGCTAGAGGCAAGATGAACATGGAGGCTGCAATGTTATTCTCTTTTTTTTTTTAAAGCTTTTGCATGCCTGCATGTTTTGCTGAATTCAGGTGTTGCAGGAAGGCTGCGACTATTCTTTCTCGGGATTGAAAACAGCCGTCAGGCTCGCTTGCCAGCGATTTTCTTTCCCTGGGGCTCCATGTCTAAGGACAATCCCTACATGAGCCATAGTCTAAACTCCTTAAAGGGGGTTATATAAGGGATTATATAGGGGACTATAGGGGTTATTAGGGGGGATCCTAGCAGTTTAGACTATGGCTCACATTGGGCCCCTAAGTCTATAGATAGTACCTACGCTAGGCTATTTAGAGCCCTAGGGTTTGTTTTTGCTTGCAGGTCCGATCTAAAGCTGAGCCGCAATGTCACCTAGCATGTGTGCCAGGACATTGGTGGAGAGAGAATTGCCGAACGCCAAGTCAGCTCTGTTGTCCGAGGATACCCCGTTTTTAATTAGATGCAAGTTTCCCCAAACAACCCCAAAGAATCCTCAAGGGGGATTCCACAATAATCTTCTCACAAAACCCATCTAAAGTCGCCAAGGTATTTGGAGAAACCCCCAATGTGTTGAATGCAGAGTGCAAGCAATACATGCCTGCCCGAGCTTGCATCTAAGGACTTTAGGAGGGACCCCTAATAGGGACCCTTGTAGCTTATGGGGGCTAATATGGGGACTTGCTAGGGATATAGGGGTTATATAATGACTATATATAAGGGTTATATATGGTAATGGGATTAA